GCCTTCCACGTGGACGTAGGGCCTTGGCTGTGGGAGGGAAAGCCTGAGCTGGGGGTCAATGCTCACAGCGCGCTGGCCTGGTGCAGGGGTGGGAACCCACGGTGGTGGGCTGCGGTGAGCGGGATCCAGTCTCCATCCGGGCCCGGAAGGCTACAAAGGGGGGGCGGGGCGGCCGGTCAGCCCCTGCCGCGGGGACGCCCTGGATGTGGGTTTCAGCCCAGGCAGGAGGCGGAGGGGGTGCTCGGGGAAGAGTGGAGGGAAGGGTGTGGCCTCAGAGCAGGATTCGGGGGTCAGAGAGAAGAGGGCATCAGGGTCGGGAGAGGGGACATGGTGGGGACCCTCAAGGTGCTGACGCCTGGACCCAGGCAGTGGCAGGATGGGAGGGAGGGAGGCAATGGGCTGGGTCGCTGCCTCTTGGAAGGTCGGGGGACGGGCTGCAGGGCAGGGGCTCTGAGGCTCCCACCAAGCCCGGGGGCTTCCTGGAAGAGACGGGGCTGGGATACGACAGGGAGAGGCTTTTGGGCCTTGGAAGAGGGTCCCGAGTCTAGGTCCCAGGGCACTTGGAGGACACTGGCCGACCCCAGCCTCCAAGTGGCTTCTTTGTTGTGCCTGGAAGGGGAGACAGTAGAGGGAGAAATGCTTTCCTTGCTCTTTTCCTTAAGCCTTTGATGCCAGCTCCAGCTGACCGCCTGGGACAGGTACCAGGAGAGGTCCTCAGCAGCTTTTCTCTGGGATGTGCGGGGCCTGGCAGAGGCTTTCTGGGTTCATGCCAGGGACACAGGACAGGTCACCTTCCAGCGGGCAAAGACGCCCCTCGCTCCAGAGACGTTTGCCTCCACATGGGCAGTGTGGACAGACAGCCACGCTACTGAGGCTCCTGCCTGCCACGCCACTGGGACCAGGACAGGGGCCGGCGTTCCTGTGGTCAGGCCCACAGTGAAGACTCACCGACGTCTCTCGGCAGCAGGCGGGCACAGCTGCCACATGGGGCTCTGGCCTCGGGGTCTGTGTCTGCCTT